TTAATATTTAATTGTCCTGTCTAGGAGCTTTATCCCTGGTGAAACACATAGTGTTTTCTTTCTTTTATTTTTTCTTTCTGCACACACATAGTGTTTTCTGAGCTACCAAATCAAGCAACAAAGTGGCATTATATACATAACATATAATAGAAAGGAGTGTCTGGCCCCTTCTACCTCCAAAACATACTTTCCATCTCTTTACATCCTGTATCTGTAGAGTTTATCATCATTTTTTTATTGAGTCTTATAAAATATCCCCTAGTTTTTCTTCCCTGCTTGTACTTTTGCCCTCACCCCTATGCTCCCTTGTCTACTAAGTTGTCAGAAGTATACTTTTAAAACATAGATCACATCACATTGCTTCTTGCTTGCTTACTTTATCATTGCACAAACTGCTTAGCCTGACACCTTTCTTTACATCTGCCTCTGCACCCTCCTCACTCTGGGTTCTTGGATTTATAACTCCATCTGCCCAGAATGCTGTTCCTCCAGTGCCTCCTACGAGGAGTTCATTCTCACTCTTCTAGATAAAGTACTCCCCCATTCTCAGGTATTCTGTCACATGACCATATTTAGTTGATTCATTGTACCTGTCTGGATTGAATGTTTTCTTTTTCACTAACTTGCTTACTGTCTCTCTAGGCCCAATAAGACCTTCAAATTGGAAAGGGGCCAAAACCTTTTCTGGCATGTTTACCATTGAATCCCCAGCACCTGTAATTGTGCCTGCCATTTACTAGGTGCATAAAATTAATACTTACTGAACAAATAAATGAACGTACAAATTTGGTTAAAAAGTGGAAGGGTTTACCTTCAAACTGCAACCCTGTTTATTAATAAATAACAAAAATCAGTTAACTATCTATTAACTGAATTGACCTGTAATGCTTTGTACGCCAGATTGTCTATTGGCAGCATCCACTTTCTAGACACACCAGAGGGTTGAGATCTGGGAACTACATTTCCCGAAAGCCCCTACCAGCAGTATTCCAGGTTTGTTCCTGAAATGAGAATAACAGGAGATTTGGAAGGAAGCGCAGAATCAAAAGCCGTATGATTGCTTCTCTGGCAATAGTTGACAGATATGTGTCTTTAACATGTGAAATTTTACAGCAGTCTCTGTGAGTTTAGTTTTGAATCACCTGCCTAATTTCTGGATTATCACTGGAAATTTTCTGAAACTCCTGCAGCTTTCCAACTCTCAGAATGCCAGTTGCAATTTGAAAATTATCAGCATTTTCACCTGACTCTTTACATTTCTAGTGCTTTTTGTTGTAAATTTTTATTTTGAAATCATTTCAAACTTCCAGAAATAATAGAGCACCCCCCCCATAGTCTTCACCTGGAGATACCACTTAAGCTTTACCCGTATCCCCACTAACATCTTTCATGGTACACAAATCATGCATTGCATCTAATTGTCTTATCTCTTTCTATCTGGAGCAGGGCTTTAGTCTTTCATTTCCATGACCCTGATGTGTTTGAAGATTACAAGGCAACAATTTTGTAGAATGTTTCTCAATTGGATTCATCTGATATTTTGTCATTATTAGAGCTGGGCTATACATTTTGCATGGGAATAGCACAGAAGTAATGCAGTTCTTGAAATTACATTCTATCTTGTAGCACACAGTGTTGATTTGGTCCATTATTAGTGTTTTACATTTTTATGACAAGATTAAGATTGTGAATACCAGGATTCTCCACAGTTAAGTTTTGTTTTCTTTTGTTTGCTTTGTAGATACAAAGTGTTTTCTGTAGAAAATTTGACATTATATTAATATTTCTTCTCTCATCCCACTTTCACCCAACAGTTTTAGTACTCGTTGATATTTCTTGTCTGAATTAGTACTATGATGATTGCAAAATAATGAATTTTTTAAAATTCAGTTATTTCTTTCACATTTACTGGTTGGCATTAATGGAAAGATGGTTCTTCTTTTCCTTATTTATTTATCCCTGTGGATTTATGGATTTCTGTGTAATTCAGTGGATTAGTATCTGTGACTGTCAATATTCATTTTGATGCTTAAATTTCTTAGATTTAGCAGGTGGGAGTGGGAACCCCTTCAAGCAGGTTTTCTTTGTCCCTTTTTATTTGCCCTACAAAATGCTTTTATTCCGTCTTTGAGTATTGCGTTACTTACTTACATACTTTATTACTGCCAGGCATATATTGTGTTTGTTCGTTTGTTTTCTTCCAAATTCAGACATGGACTCTGCCATTTACAAAGGAGCTCTACTTTACTGTAATGAAGTCTTGTACTGTATTTAGAAACCAAGCTTTGCATGCCAGGAGAGCTCATTGCTACTGGATTGTTGTTACATCTGGAACTTTTAATTAACAGAGTGAGGAAGTATATGTATGAATGAATATAAATATACAACTACACATATATTCACACACATACATATTTTTACATATCGGTCATCTATGATCTATCTATCTACCTATCAATCAATCAATCAATCAATCAAACATTGAGTTTCTACCAATACTACCAATTTCAGTCTAACACCACAGGTCTATTCCAGCTTCCCTTATTTTCATATTTGTACCCTCCTCCTGCAGTGAGAAATCTGTTCCCATACTTCTCAGTACATTTACTTTTTTGCCCAATTCCTTCAATGTTGTTAATCACCACGCCTGACAGACTGTACGTACTTACTGTACTTAGTGCCTTGTTTCAACACATCAGATTCTCATAGGCTTCCATTGGTGGCTTCTGGGCTATCCCTGCCATCCTTATGTAAACACTGTGTTGCAATAGGCTTTCCTTATGTAAACCCTGTGTAAGCTATCATTATAGGTTGTTGCCAGACTACCTTGACCCACTGCTTCAAGATAACATCCTCCCTCAGCTGACCATCACTGCCATTGCTAAATTTTTTTTTTTTTGAGACAGAGTCTTGCTCTGTAATGAGGCTGGAGTGCAGTGGCCCGATCTCGGCTCACTGCAACCTCCCCTCCAGGGTTCAAGAGATTCTCCTACTTCAGCTTCTCTAGCAGCTGAGACTACAGGGGTGCAACACCACACCCAGCTAATTTTTATTTTTAGTAGAGATTGGGGTTTTACCATGTTGGCCAGGATGGTCTCGAACTCCTGACCTCATGATCCGCCTTACTCGGCCTCCCAAAGTGCTGGGGATCAGGTGTGAGCCACCGTACCTGACTCCAATCCTCTATATTAAATTCCTTTTTGCTTGACATACCTAGAACAATTTTGTTTCCTTAAACAGAATCTGATCCTTATACTTTGTTATGTAAAGTCAATGCAAATAATCTCTAATGCATTGTAATTTTATATGCCAAATAAATACAATTGTACATAAAAATCAAATAATAAAAATATTTGCCTCAATACAAGAAAAAAATCATGACTAAATTTTTTATCTGAAATTTAAAAATTTGCAAAATTTTTAAATGTTTGAATAATTGATTATAAATGTTGCCACTAATGGCCTAACAGATGCTTGAAAATTTTACTATAGAATAATAGATACGTATTTTTCACTTACAGTACTTAATTGAAGCTTAGAATTTTGTCCTGCCAAACTGACTTGAGGTCACATTTATGCAGAAAATGCCAGACTATTATAACTGTTAAAGACATATTTTAAAAACTTAAGTGCTAGTAAATATTAGGTAATACATTTTAGAATATTATTTTACTGAATAAATTTGTCCTTTGAAAGAAGTCTAAGTTTTATTTTTATTTTCAGGGAATGGTGTGTAGAATAAAGTTTCTGTAAATAAAGGAAAGTCACTGCATTAAAGAACATATTCATTATCTGCATGTCAGGACAGAATTTAACTAGCTGGGGGTATGAGCTATACTATGTGTGAAAGAAAGCCTTTTCCCAGTCCTGCTCTTGTATGTAATCTTCTATCTGTTCATCTTATGCCACATGACAGGTGAAAGATGTAACCTGAGAAAAATAAACTTATGCTTTGAAATATTTCTACTAAGTGAAATTTGTTCATCTGAAATATTTGCTCCCAAGAAAAATGCCCCTGGCAGTGTTTTCATATCTTTCTCTCATGGTTTTAAAATCTTTGGGATTTTTTTAAATGATGAAATTAGAAGAAAAATATATGCATCATGTTCATTTGGACATTTGAAAAAGAAAATTTTCATCCTTTGTAAAATAAAATATAAAAATGAATAAAAGCCTCAGAAAAAGTACTGTTAGCATTGTCAGTTCTAGTGTGTATATGAATCAACATAAGAATTGAGAAATGATTGACATATGTGTACTGCCTATCTTATTTGTATACTTGAAATTCACCCTTAATTCACCTGTTGCTGAATTCCACAATGAACACAAAGTAATTTTTTTTTAAGTCAGAGTCAATTTTCAGCTGATGTAATTCCAAGGGTTTTAGAGGCATGGGATGAAAATAAATAGGGTGAGGAAATCTAAGCCCTTTAATTTGATTCAGTAAATTTTTGTTGGTTAATTCCTGTATTCTGGGTACACTGCTAGGTATTAAGATAGTTATGAATGAATCTGAATGTGTCATAGTCTGGTGCCTCAAAATGTTTTCAGTCTATTACTGGAGAAGTAGGAAAGGGAATTTATACAAATCAGTGTAACATAAAAAATCCATTTTTAATAAATGCCTTAAGATTTCCTCTGAGTAGCAGTGAAAGTTATATTTTCTTCCTCACTGCCTTCCTATCTTGTAATTTGGATTGGCACTTTAACATGTACAATATGTACAGCCACTGTGAAATAATATCAGGAAACAGAAAAGGACTAAAATCATTGGAGATTTAGTAATAATATTTAGTATAGTCTGAATGTCCCCCAATATGTAAAACTTAATTCTCATCGTGGTAATATTGAAAGGTGGGGATTTTGGGGAAGTGACTAAGTCATGAGGATTCTACCCTCACGAAAGAATTAATGCCCTTATAAAAGAGATTTCAGAGAGAGTTGACTTCTCTTGTTCTTCTGCTCTTCTGCCATGTAAGGACATCATGTTTATTTCCTCCAGAGGATGCAGCAATAAAGCGCCATCTTGGAAGCAGAGACTGGGCTCTCACCAGACACAAAATCTTCATCTTGGACTTCCCAGCCTCCAGAACTGTAAGGAATAAATTTCTGTTATTTATGAAGTACCCAGTCTGTGGTATTGTGTTATAGGAGCACAAAGAGACTAAGACAATATTCTAAAATGGCAAGGGACAGTATGCTACAGCAACCTTTCCCAAATGGTGCTCAAATGTGCATGTAGTTGATGCTGGAAAAGAAAGAAAATGAAAGGTATTCCAAGGTCGGTGAGTTTGAGAAATGTTGGGTTAATTAAAGCTGAACCAGCTTCTTTCTTGTAGAACTTCTCTTGTATAAAATAAATCCAAGAGGGAATTATAATATGCTGGGACACGATTTGGGGAAGTCTATGCTACTGAAAACAGGCAGAAATAGCAGGCAAAACAACAACCTAAAATCACAATTTATTTAACTGCTTTGATTTCCTGTACTCTTTTAAAACATTTAACTCAAATGTTGCTTGTAGCTTAGCCAGTATCAATCCCTGTTTTCTGTTGCCACATTTAAGCACTGGAAACAAATGCATCAAAATGCTTGCTATCTTTTTATCCCTTGCAGATGTCCTTGCTCCCTGGTAAAGAAACCATTGGAATGTTGCCATTTTAATTAGGCTTAGCTACAAAAAAAGCCTTAATCTGCCATTGAGATGTATATTTGCCTGTTTTATTAAAGCTTAGAGGAGGGGGAAAGGTGGTTTTCCATTTATGGAAATTATGTAATAATACAGATATACTTATTTCAAGATAGTTTTACAACTTGGAATGAATATGAAATATAATTGATGATTTTTTGAGGCCTTTCCCAAAATAAAGAACACTTTTATTTTACATTATTTTTAATAACCAGACTTTTTTTTCTATTAAGTGATTATTTTTTGGAACAGTGTCAGGCAGTATAATTTTTCATGTTAAAAAGAATCTCCCAGTCCTATATCAGATATTTTTATTATTATAAATATCATCATCCCTTAATTAAGGAGAAATCAAACTGAGAAAACGGCTGTTTTGAATGTTATTGGCCTGCTATAATACTGTATCTAATGTTTATTTTAGGTAAATTATTGTAAGAACTTTTAAGATTTTTATAATTTTTGCATGACTTCTTAAGAAAGAATTTTTAATATATTCAGGCAGGATTATTCTGTGTTACAGAATTGTTGGGTTCTATACTTTGTTTTAATGTAATAAATATTAATTTAAAGGTAAAAGAACATGAAAGGGGAAATGTGTCATTAACATGAATACATCAAACATTTAAAATAAGTAAGCCTTAAGGACACAAAGACATACAGAATGATGTAATGGATTTGGGGGACTTGAAGGTAGGGGAGAGTTTTGGAGGGCCTTGAGGGATAAAAGACTACACATTGGGTAGAGTGTACACTGCTTGGATGGTTAATGCATTAAAATCTCACACAGCACCACTAGAGGACTCATCCATGTAACCAAAAACCACCTGTACCCCAAAAACTATTGAAATAAAAATAAGAAATAAGCCTAATAATTACCTTCGAACATGAACAACTATATTAATATTTAGCTATTGTTTTTGAAAACACACACTATGTTTACAAATTAATGGTTGTGTTAATGTCTTAGTTACAAGAGATCATGTAGCAGTGGTAAGGACCAAGGACAACAAGAATTAAACTCTGGCTCTACCACTGTAGGATCTGTGTCCTTGGAAAAATCTCTGAACTTCTCTGTGACTCAGTTTCCTCATTTGAAAAATCAAAATGATATTAGAAGCTACTTGAAAGTACTGTTTTGAGGAGTAAATAAGTTAATATTCATGAAGTACCTAGAATAATCCCTGGATCATGGTTATCATTAAGTACACTTGGTTTGCCTCTTCAAACCTAACATTTATTTCAAGAATAGTTATACTCATCTCATCTAAAAAGCTCACTTCAATGCCTTTCCTTTAACTGCTATAGTTGCCTTTGGCTATTACTACTAAAAAGCTCCTGTAAAAATTAGTCAGACATTGGAGAAAGCAGAATGTCAGATTTTAATTTGTAACTTCACCTGAGTGCTAATCTAGAAGTACCAAAAACCTCCATCAATGTTTAATGAAAGAAAAAGAGTGCTCTACTTCTAAACAAACTAATGAGGTCACAGCTAACTTTTCTTTTAAAAGTTATTAAAGAAAACTATCATTAAATCGAGTTGTGTTGAACAAACAAAACTCTTCCAATCAATACTGCTATGAAAAAATACTTACATCTAAAAATACAAAATCTTTACATTACCTGCCTCTCATATACACTTTTAAAAACATACCTCAGAACTTTGCATAGTGTCTTTTTCATATTAATCATTTACCACATGTTTGAGAGGTGTTTTTGCTCAAAATTATAAAATTAATCATTGAAATCGAGATTTCAGTTTGGCATTAAAATAAAACACTAGAAAAGAGGTATTTAAAATATACCATTGCTAATCATTAACATATTTGATCTCCCTAAGATTTCTGGGGTAAGGCCAAGTTTTCCTTGGTTTTCTCTTCACTCCATACTTGCTATACCCTCTTCCTGAGGAAGTCAATAAGCTTCAACCTACCCAGGACTGACCTCATTGTATGCCTTGTATCTTCCTCTACTTATAAACTTAGCTCTTTGGTCATTGTAATGGGTACATCATTGTAATGGCTACACGTAGACTTGTCTTTTCCATAGATGCTACTCCATATTCAAGAGGAAGCCACCATTAGATAGGCATCTAATAGATGATACTGCCTCTTGACAATAACTTCTTGGCACAAGGCACAAAGATGTTCATCTGTTCCAAGTTGAGCCAGTGATACTTTTTATGCTTAGGGAAAATTGGAACTGAAATGGAGTTCTGATGGTATACATCCGTATGTTTCAAGTCAGAACTTCAGGGTGCCAATGTTTTATCTGTGGAGCAAAGAGCCAAGTAGAGTCTATAATGAAAAGACTGAAGCCAACAGTCTGGGAAGAGTGAAGATGAAAACTGCAGTGAATAGGCATCTGATTCCCAGTTTCAGCACTTTTTTGAGGTTTCTGTCTATTCATGGCTTTGGGAAGTGAGACACATTCCTCCTCTTTCCAAGAAAATTACCATTTTGCTAGTGATAGAAGAGTCAAGGAGATATTTTAAGAAAGCCAGACGTCTTGTAATCTTAAAGCATTTTACTATGACTATATCTATGTCTGGCCTGGTACTGTCAAAGTGCAAATCTCAGTTTTACCACTAGGGCCAACAGACATCAATACAGAATCAAAATAACAATCCTGAACACCAAAGTATTTAAGATTTACAGAAGAAACACCCACAGGTGGCTAGTTGTCACGATAAGCATCCACAGCTAGAAACAATTTGTTGAAAATGTCAAGCAACAGTTTATTCAAATTACAGATGAAAACTCTTCAAAAACCTTGCACTACAAAAGTACTGTTCACCTTTCAGGTCACACAAGCACTTTTATTTCATCCTTAAGCACAATTGGGATTGCCAGATTTTGCAAATCAAAATACATGACACCAGTTAAATTTGAATTTCAGATTACAAATACTAACTTTTAGCATAATATTGTAGACGTACTTATGCTAAAAAGTTGCTTGTTCTTTGTTTGGAATTCAAATGTAACTGGGCATCCTCTATTTAATCTGGCAACGCTAAGCACAGTGAATAATATGCAATCACAGGTGTGGGAGGAACCTTTTTCCCCTGACTATATTTTAAGTGGTAAGACTTGTCATTAGGCAGTTAAATCAGTCAGGATGCAAAACAGCAATTTCTACCAAAATGTTCTTTCAATGAATTGTATACATGTGTTAAATGTAGATGTATGACTGTGCTCTTTTGAGGATCCTTCTTAATTCCTTCTTGTAAGGAGAGCTGGGGAAATGAAAGGACACTTTATGTATGTTAAATTTTAGTGAAACTTTTTTAAATTTCTGGAATTAACAGCAAAACAGAACCCATTATTCTAGAAGTAGATTCATTTTTACGAGAACAGAATTGGATGGTAAAAAAGAGATATGATAGATAATAAAAGAAGAAAATAAAAACAAAATCAAGGTAAGATAATTTTGAAAAGAAAAAGGAAAATATTTAGATATTTTTAAAGCTTTCTGCTTGCTTTGGCTATTTTAAAAACCAAATTGGATTGACTGCAAAGCAAATCTAGTTATTTGGGCAAAATTGATAATAGGGGAAGAAAAAAAATAATTTAGGCAGTAAAACCAGTCACAAAAATTGATACTGTGTCTGATTCAAAAACTCTTAGTTGTACTGAGATTTATATCACAGTACAAAAATATTGAACTTGTCTTTTATCCTCTGAAAATTTCTATCCTCTCCTTTCTTTTTCGCTCCTTTCTTTCTCCATTTTCTGCCTTCCACAGATGAAAATAGCATACAAGCAAAAAGTGTGAAAAATACTACATTCAGGGAGACTTGGCTCAAAAGCAGCAGCCAGGAAAGGAAGAAAGGAAGAAGGTTTATACTAATGGCTGGGATTGTGGCCTCTCCATGAGGCAGGTTGTAGGGAGTGAAAGTAAGGAGTGGGGAATGTCATTTATAAAAGCTCCCCTTAGTTAGAACCAGTGCTGCAACAGGTCATTAGTGTGCTGAGGTTATGTTTTGGGGAATGTAATGTGTCTGCCTGAATCCATGTAATAATGAACTGTGATACTAAGAAGTACTAATTAAATCAAGATAAATAAGATCATTGTACTTTGAATTTAAAAATAATATATGTTCAACAATATCTTACAGATTTGAACATAGCATAATATACATCTTAAATATCTTCCTAGTAAAATGAGCCATTACCTTCTCAAAAATAATTGGGACCCTTTCCCAAACTGAGGCTGAGGCTCCGTAAAGGAAAATTCCAGCAATTTGACTTGCTTTCACTCAGTGCCTATCAAAATTCTTCTTGTGGTAGCTCTTGGAAAGATTATCTTTTTTTTTTTTTTTTTTTTTATGATTAGAGCAGGGAATATAGGTGTCTTGCTGACTAAATTGCTCTTTCTGATGTCTGATGTACCCACCCACTATGTCAGA